GGATGCACTGTTACCCCGACAACAGGGAAAGGCAGCCCCTGATTGGTCCTTGTGTAGATGGTGACGTCTAACACATGCTGCGGGACTTTTCAAAGTGCTGTTCATTCAGAACGCCATTAATTCTGCAGTTGACTTTGCAAAGTCGGCAGAAATCATTTATATCCGCAGAAGACGTCGGGTAACAGTGGAAACACGGTCTCTGATTGGCCCGGTTATTTTCTGACCGGGAATACACGCTCCCATTGGGCCGAAGTCCAGACTGTTGTGGGAAGGAACGGCAAGTGATTCACGAAACAGGATGGCCCAGCCAGGCTAAGTACATTGCACAACACAGACGACAATGGACACTTCATACACACCAACAATAAATGACATACAATAATAATAATAATAATAATAATAATTTAGTTTTATATAGCGCCTTTCAAGTAACCCAAGGTCGCTTTACAAAGGGAGATGGGGCCAGGGGCTGGGGTGGGGGGTGGGGGGGGGGGGTAGAAGTGGGGGTGGGGGGCAGTGTGGTTATGGACCATAGGCTTCAGTGAATAGATGTGATTTCAGATGCTTTTTAAACAGCCAGTGTGGGGGCCTGGCAGAGATGGAGGGGCAGACTGTTCCAAAGGGTGGGGGCAGCAACACAGAAGGCTCTGTCACCAAAGGTCCGTAGCCTGGTGCGTGAAATGAAAAGCTGGTCCTTGCCAGAGGACCTCAGGGACCTTGATTGGGAGTAATGCTGGATGAGATCGGAGAGGTACTGGGGAGCAAGAGCGTGGAGGGATTTGTATGTGAGGAGTAGGATTTTGTAGGTGATGCGTAGCTTCACTGGGAGCCAGTGAAGCTGCTTGAGTGTGGGGGTAATGTGTTGCCACCGCTTTGCACGTGTGAGGACCCTGGCAGCCGAGTTTTGGACACACTGAAGTCTGTCCAGTGCTTTGGTGGGAAGACCAAAAACGACACCATTGCACTAGTCCAGACGGGAGGAGATGTAAGCATGGATCAGAGTCTCTGCAACAGAGTCTGACAGTGAGGGCCAGAGTCTGCAGATGTTTTTGAGGTGGAAGAAGGAGGATTTGATGGCGTTACTGATGTGGGCTTGGAGTGAGAGGTTACAGTCCAGGATAACACCCAAGTTGCGCACTTCTCGGAGGGCCTGATGGTACAGCCATCGACATTCAGAAGAATATCACCAACTTCCTTGGACAGAGATGGAGGGGCCACCACCATGAACTCTGTTTTATTGTTGTTCAGTTTGTGTAGGTTGGTGACCATCCATGTCTTTATTTTGTGTAGGCAGTGAACTAGTGATAGGGGAGGGAGATGGGCAGAAGGTTTGGTGCTAATGTAGAGCAGGGTGTCGTCAGCATAGCAATGGAAACTAAGTCCATGTTGTCGGATGATCTGGCCAAGAGGGAGCATATAGATGGTGAACAGCAGGGGGCCAAGCACTGAGCCTTGGGGCACGCCATGGTTGACTGGAGCTGGGGTTGAGTTAGAGACCTTGATAGTGATGTATTGTGTCCTACTGGAGAGGTAGGAGTGAAACCAGGAGAGAGTGGAGTCAGAGAGGTTTAAGTGTCCATGGAGACGGTGAAGCAGGATGGTATGGGAGACTGTGTCAAAAGCTGCAGATAGGTCCAGGAGGATGAGGAGACTGATGAGGCCATTGTCTGCAGCTATGAGGAGGTGATCTTAATGAGAGCTGTTTTCGTCCTGTGGTGGGGTTGAAAGCCAGATTGGAGGGGGTTCATAGAGTTCATGGTGGGACATGTGGTGTTGTAGTTGGGTAGCCACTGCTCTTTGCAGAATCTTACTGAGGAAGGGTAGGTTGGAGATTGGGTGGTAATTTCCTGGGTCATCAGGGTCCAGGCCGGATTTTTTGAGGGTGGGAATGACCACAGCCGTTTTAAAGCTAGAGGGCACCACACCAGATGTAAGGGAGGTGTTAATGATGTCGGTCATGGTAGGGCAGATTGTGGGCAGACATGCCTTTACCAGGGCAGTGGGCATGGGGTCCAGTTTGCTAGAGGTGGTTTTAGCTTTTGACACAAGGCCCATGACCTGGTTATTGCTGAGTGGTGAGAATGAGGAGAGGGAGAACTGATGTGGATACGCAGAAGAGGTTGAGTTGCAGTCCTTCAGGTGAAAGGCAGGTGGACCTGGAGCGCCAGTCTGATGGAGCTGCAGGTGAATGTCGTCCACTTTCTGCTGAAACAAAGTTTGGAACTTACAGCAGAGTTCTGATGCGTCCGATGGTTGGGGTGGATCTGAAGCGCGGAGGAGACGGTTAAAAGTGGAGAAGAGCTGCTTTGGGTGATTCTGGTGTTTATTGATGAGAGTGGAGTAGTACAGAGTTTTTGCCCTGGAGAGAGCCTCTTTGTAATTCCCCACATGGTCTTTGTAGGCCTCTTGGTGTACAACTAGTCCAGATTTTTTGTACAGTCTATCAAGCTGATGCCCAGTTGCCTTCAGGAGGCGGAGCTCAGGAGTGAACCAAGGTGCAGGCTGGCTGAAAGTGATGGACCGAGTCTTCAGGTGGGCTACAGCATCCAGACTGAGAGAGAGAGCTTTGTTGTAGTGCTCAGTGAGGGCATCCACAGTGTGGCTTGAGGGGTGGGAGGCAAGATGTAGTGCCAGCATGCTCGACAGTGCAGGTGTGGATACGCGCTTGATGTTCCTGAATGTGATTGTTCGATTCACGCACAGTCTGGGTGGAGGCTCAGGTACAGAGAAGAGGATGTCACGGTGATCCGAGACAGCTAGGTCCAGGCACTGGAGATTGAGGGGAGTTATGCCAGTGGAGCACACTAAGTCCAAGGTGTGGCCTTTGACATGTGTGGGACCATGCACATGCTGTGTTATGTTTAGACACTCAAGGAGAGACAAGAATTCAGTTGTGAAAGGGCAGCTATGTGAGTCCACATGAATATTAAAATCGCCCAAAATAATGGTGGATTGGGACATGGGGCAGACAGCGGTGACTAACTCAGAGAACTCAGAGAGAAACCCACTGGTGGCTTTGGGAGGGCGGTAGACAAGCACAACTTGTAGCTGTGCAGCCTCGGTCAACACAAAATGCATACACTTGAAAGTGCTGGAGTTAATGGGAAGATCTTTAATCATGATGTCTGAATTATGTATGACAGCCAGCCCAACACCACGGCCCATGGAGCGAGGCTTTTGGATGTATACATAGTCTGGGTGGCCAGATTGAGAGAAAAAAAAATCCTGCTGATTTTGCCATGTCTCGGTCAGACACATGAAATGGAGTTTTCTTTCAGTGATTATGTCATGGATTAATTCTGCCTTGTTGTTTAATGAGCGAGTATTCAGGAGCATAAAGTTTGCGGTCTTTTTGGTGGGCGCATCAGAAGGGCCAGGTATGACAGCACAAGCCAGAGGACGCAGGTTGGAAAGCTCTGCGTGACGTTTGTTTTGATGACGTTGCAACAAGGAAGTATGGCATCGGACTGTAGGGACAGTCGGAGTTGTATTCATATGCACAAACTTAAATCGGGAGGCTCTGTGGACATATCTGGGACGATGCAAGATGTGGAGAGACTTTAAGACACCTAGGCAGCTGGGGTGGGTGGTGGAGCAGAGATTCATCAGTTCTGTTGCGGAGTATCTGAAGAGAGCCATGCCGGGGGCGCACCTAGCTGGGCTGGGCGCTAACCCACAGGTTTGCACTGCAGGGCGATTTCGAGTGGAGGTTCCACCTGGATACAGCGACGACGTTGTCGATGGATGACCCAGAAAGCTGCAGCGATGTTGGTCGGAGAGACTAGGATCTGCCGCCGGTGGTGCCAGGGTAGCCTGTCCAACGGTAAGATTCCAGTTTGTTCCGTAGTAGCCAACTGGATTCATCCAGGTAACATTGGTAGTGCTTGATCACTGCTGGTCGCACAGTGCAATTAAAGTTGTAATCGAAAAGTATGCGAGAATGGCAGAATTAGACTCGCGAAATGTATCAGGTGGATTATAAATAGCGAAATAGCTGGACATGAGAAGCGGCGACATACATGCCAGTGTCCTCTCATGCGCACAGCAGAAACATATTCTCTTGAAAATCAACATATTCTCTTGAAAAAATACATAACAGCAATGATGACAAACTTAAATGACAACACAATAGCGGACAGACAGATAAGCCTACTGTTCAGGGTGGCTATGGCTGCAGGGCTCAGGCTTTTTCCCAGCCAAGCTCTCATGAGCTTAATGGTTTTGTACCTGCGCCCTGAGGGTAGTGGGATGATGTACTTGTTCAGTGGGTGAGTACTGTCTTGTGCTATGGAGTTTGCTAGGCGGGTGATGGAGTTGTTATTTAGTTCTGTGAGGTTGGGTGTGAGGGGGGGGCAATGATTTTAGCAGCTGTGTTTGTGATTCGTGTGAGTTTGGCCCGGTTGGTGACAGAAAGCATATTAAAGTAACATGTGGAACAGTACAGAGGGATGGGTTGAATGATGCTTTGATAGAGTAGCAGCAGGAGGTGGGTGCACGTAAAGTCCAAGTTTACAGCCGACAGTCTTTGTTGGCTTCTTTTTTGAATGTTGGTGGTGTGTTGATCAAAAGTGAGTTTATTGCCCAGAGTTATTTCCAGATAATTTGAACCATGTGATGTTCTGTAGATGATGAAATCCACTCATTCTTTCACATTTGACACTCAGGGACATTGTTCTCAGACTGTTCAACTATTAGCTCACACAGTCTCTCACACTTCTCCGGGAACCATCACCTTATCGTGGTGGAGGGGTTTGCGCGTCCCTATGACCCTGAGAGCTATGTTGACTGGAGCCTTGTGCTCCTGGTAGGGTCTCCCATGACAAACAGGTCTCCGGCGAGGGGCCAGACAAAGAATGGTTCAGGGCAGGCCAGCAGGCCCTAAGGGGGCAGCCCCCCCAGCTGGCTATCTGGCAGTGGGCTAACAACCTACTCCAGAGAATCTCTCTTTGTTATGAAACCAATGAGAAATAGCCGGACTGACCAATGGAACCGACCCTCGCATGCCCCCGACTCACGATCAATCAATCTCTGTCATCCCTTTCGTGTTGCTACATGGAATGTGCAAACACTTCGACGCACAGGACACGCCACTCTCCTGTCTCGTGAGCTGGCTCGTTACAACATCTCCATCGCAGGACTCTGCGAATCTCTGGCGCGATAGTGGAGAGAAGAAAGAGGGAGACCACAGTTACATCTGGAGCGGCCCAAATGACAAGAAAGGATTATATGGCATCGCCCTTGCAATGCCATGCCATGTGAGGAAATCCCTTATCGGATGGACCCCAGTCAGCGAACGTCTGCTAACCGCTCGCTTCCACCACCAACATGGCAAGCTAACAATCATTGTTGCCTATGCACCAACAGAGGTCGCAGACGACGAGACAAAGAATGCATTCTTTGATCAGCTACATCAGGTCATCCTGCAGGTTCCCCCACATGACATCACTATTGTCCTCGCAGACTTCAATGCCACCGTCTCCTCTGCCTCACGGGACCAGCAAACCAAAAACATAATTGGTCCAGAATCTCCAGATCCCATCACCAACAACGGCGACTGCCTCCAGCATTTATGCAGTGCCGGTGGCCTATCCATCGTAGACACGTGGTTCCCCAGGAAAAACATACACAAATGGACATGGTACAGCAATGATGGCAAAACCCGCAAGGCCTTAGATCACATCATTATCTCCAGCCGATGGAAATCCAGTGTTACCAACTGTCGTGTGTACCGTGGTGCCCAGCTAGGCAACACGAACCATCGATTACTGGTTGCCCAGCTGAGACTGAAATTAAAGGCTGTTCCTTCATCAAGGGCACCACCAAGAGTGAGATCTTCCCATCTCCAGGATCCAACCATCACCTCAGCATTTACCAGCTCCATCTCCAACCGGTATAATACCCTGGCCAGAGAAGAACTCACCAACTGGAATCTGTTTGTGTCTACTATAAACCAGGCAGCTGCTGACTCCATCCAACGCCCCCACCATACACCTAGGCGTCCCTGGATATCACCAACAACCCTAGAAATCATAGAGCTCTGCAGAGCCGCCTGTCTCAGAGGCGACATGATTGAATACCGTCGCCTTAATCGCATACGCAACACCGCAATACAAGAAGACCGGGAGAGATTCTGGCAAGGAGAAGCAGAACGCCTGGAGTCCGCCGCAGAAAACAGTAACTACACCCAAGTGTATCGAACCCTGAGGTGAGTGAAATCAGGCCCCCAACATAAGGTGGTCTAGGTAAAGGACGCTCAGGGCAACATACTAAACTCAGAGGATGAATGCATCAACTGCTGGAAGGAGCACTTCAGCAATCTTCTGCATCACCCTGCACCCCAGACCGACCCCACTCTCACTGCCGCCTCCGAAAATGCTAGTGCGAATGATAACTGCAGCATAGACCCTGTCACCAGAGAAGAGGTCATGCAAGCTCTGTCCAAACTAAAAAATGACAGAGCCCCTGGTATCTGTAATATCACAGCGGAAATGCTGAAATGGGGAGGTGACAACACCATTGACTGGCTCACCGAAATTATCAACCGCATCTGGGTATCTGAGCACCCCCTGGAAGATTGGACCAGGGGCGTCATCCTTCCCTTCTGGAAACACAAGGGTGATAAAATGGTTTGCAGCAACCACAGAGGCATTACACTCCTGTCTATCCCAGGCAAGATCTTCACCCGCATACTGCTCACCAGGGCCCTCCCGGCCATTAGAAGCAAAAGACGCCCCCAAAAGGCGGGCTTCATGCCAAACCGCTCCACCACAGACCAGGGGCCTTATGTATCAATACTTGCGTGGAACTCATACCAGAAACGAGCGCACGCAAGGTCCGTCACGCTGAAAAAAATCCGTATGTATCAATGTGTGCGGGCGCCGAAATCCACGTGTGTTTCCTTGATAAATCCCAATCAGCATGGAATTGAGCGCAGATGTCGGAGTGACTGGGCCCGTCCCCGTAACGCCCTCCTATAAATATGCAGATTTATTTAAATAGGGTCTCCCTGTCCTCGCACGCAGTCAAAATGACAAGAAAAACTAAATTTACGGCGTACGAGTTGGAGGTGCTGGTGGCAGAGGTGGAGGAGCGACAGTGTGTTTTGTTTGGCAGCCTGTCCAGTGGCGTCAGTGCAAAACAAAAACGCTTGGAGTGGGAGAAAGTTTGCGAGAGGGTGAATGCGGTGGGTTCCGAGACACGCACCCCCGTGGAGATTTAAAAAAAGTGGTCGGACCTCAAGGTGGAGGTCAAGCGGCGTACAGCTGCCCTCCGGAGGAGTACTGGCCAGACAAGAGGGGTTCCGGGGGAGGAGACCCTCACACAGTTTGAGCAGCGGGTGGTGGCGATTATTATTACAGGGTAAGTGGCGTGTCACACAAATGTCCACATGCTTTGTCATCCCACTGAGCAAAAGACGTATATTAGACATCTAGTCTAAGTTTATACTTCATTTCAACGGCGGGATTCAGTCTATTTTTAGACGTGATTTATACTTCGCCCTTGACTTCATTTTTCGATAACTTTTTATGCAATGAACAACTGTAATGTGCATAACTGACCTCTAAATACGGGATTACATTACCTATAATACCGTGGAGAGAGATGTAAACGCAACAGATACACAGAAGCAGGAATTGAAATGAACAAATATTTTTATTGTGTCACAGAAATCAATGTGTCGGCCGTGTCGCCGGCTTGCGGAACCCCGGCCCTCGGCAGCCCGTCCGCCGGCTCGGAGTCGTCGGCCAGGACCAGCGGCATTCGGGCCACCCCGGCCCCCGGCCCCAGCATCAGCACCAGCGCGCCGACAAGCGGTGGAGCGTCCACCAACCGCGGCGCTTCCGCTGGACCACCCGGACGCAGTGGAAGGGTCCTCGCGGAGGGGGTCCTGCAATCGCAGGAAGAAATCATCAGGGGGATCGCGGGGATCAACGAGCGGCTGGACCGGCTCGTAAATGTCCTTGAGTGTCTGGTGGAGAAAATAAATTAATTTGGCTCATTGAACTGTGTATTCTCTTCTTACCCATTCACACTGTGGCGATGAGATTCTCCCGCGCGAGGACGGCGGCCCGGCAGGGATCAGCTCGCATCCCTCCGTCTGCTGCTGGTTTGTCGACGTGCTGCTTGGCCACGGGGATGTGGTGCACGCTTGTCACATTGTGAGTCACCAAACACTGCCACACAGCGTCGCCAAAGTGCGAATCACAGTCAACGCAAGTATCAGCTCAACGCCAATTTCTACACCACCTCCTGACTTTGCGTTGATTAGCGCTGGAACCGACGCTCGTTTCGCGATGATAAATCTGGAAGTGTGCGCTGATTTTGGCGTACGCAAGGTTTTCTTGCGCCGCAAGCGTTGATACATAAGGCCCCAGATCTCTGCCCTCCGCCTCATCATTGAGAAGGTACATGAGTTCCGGCAAAACAGACACCTCTACATTGCTTTCCTTGACCTTAAGGCAGCTTTCGACACCGTGGACCACACCTCCCTGTGGAAGATCCTCACCATCCTTGGAGCTCCAAGCAAGATCACCACCTTGTTCCAAAAGCTCTACAGCGATGCCGAAAGCTGTGTGCGTGTCAACGGCACAAACTCGACCTGGCTTTCCATCAACAGCGGAGTGAGGCAGGGATGCGTAGCGGCCCCAGACCTTTTTAACTGCATCATTGACCACCTGATGGAGCGGATATGTGCACGCATTCCTGGGGTTAAACTCGGCAGTTACACCCTCACAGATCTGGAATACGCAGATGACACCACACTATTCTGCTCCACTCTTGACCAGTTAAAAGAAGCCTTGGAAATCTACCAAGAGGAATCCAACAAACTGGGCCTGAGGGTCAGCTGGCCCAAAACAAAATTGATGCACATTGGAGGTGACACCCCCCCTCCTCTGCATATCAGTGGAGAGGAGGTTGAGTTTGTGACCTCCTTTATCTACCTTGGGTCCATCATCACCAACAACGGCAACATCATAACCGAAATAAACCGGAGACGCGCCCTGGCAGCCAGCGCCATGAAAACACTCTGGAAACCGCTGTGGAGACACCACTCCATATCAAGAGCAACCAAACTAAGGATCTACAACACCTCAGTCCTCTCCATCCTCCTTTACGGAGCTGAAACATGGCCACTCAACAAGACCCTGGCTGCCAGAATAGATGGCTTTGACACCAGAGCACTGCGCTCAATAGAGGGTATTAAATGGCCAGATAGGGTCTCCAACATCACACTGAGGGAACTGACACAACAGCCCCCTGCCTCCCAACTGGCAGCACAGCGTCGATTGCGCTGGTACGGCCATATCAGGAGACTCCCCCCAGAACATCCCACTCACGCTATCCTCCACTTCCAACCCAAAGCTGCCGGCTGGAAACGCCTCCGTGGTGCCCCCCGCACACGATGGATTGATGTCGTCACCGGGGACCTACACCAACTGGGCCTGTTGCTTGCCGTAGCCGAACCCCTAGCACTGGACCGACCCCAATGGAGAAGATTGGTGAAACTGATTGGCTCTACGCATGGCGCCGTCCCCGTCGCCGAGCAAGAGACCTGATGATGATGATGAGTCTCTCACAGAGTGGTGAACCTCTTCAGCCTCTCTGAATGTGCTTTTTATACCCAGCCATGTCACTAACCCTTTGAACATTAACCTCATTGAGAGTTTGAAGTAAATAAATGCCTGAGGCCTCTTATTGATGGATACAAAGTGTTAGTGTTTGACTTTAAAGGTGATGGTTCAGGATTGTGATTGGTACATGGATGTCTTTTATCATCTGATCCCGGTGTGTTAATCTTCACTATGAGGTTTTCTGAAAACACCAGTCTGACCCTGCAGAATAGTCCTAGTGAAAGCTGCAGCTCCGTCAGCCAGGAACTGAGCAGAATTGTTTAATGGGGTAGAGGGAACAATCTGGAAGGTCATGATAATATTTTCAGAGCAGTGAAAGCCTCAGCAGAGAGGGGCAGCTGCTGCAGGTGGCAGCTCACCAAGAGGGATGGATACAACAGAACCACGGCTAAACATTGCAAAACACGCATGCATGCACGCACGCACACATACACGCATGCCCGCGCGCACGCGCGCACACACACACACACACACACACACACACACACAATCACAATCACACCATGGTAAAACAATGACACAGTGGAAATATCCTGTCTGTTTGTGAAATCATCTCCACCAACAAAAGAGAAAACTGCACTCATGATCAGGAAAAAGGATCAAACTCATAAAAATGACGTTTAAAACCAAAATATTGAAAGATGAGGTCAAAAAATGAAATATAAGTCAGGTCAAATTACAAAACAAGAGTTTCAGATGTAGAATTTAAAGTTACAGTCCTAGGACATGAAATCAAATTAAAGAATTAAAATCAGAATCACTCGATGAAAAACCATTTAAAAATATGTAAATGAATGAAACAAAAGTCATAACCATAAACTTAAAAAGATACTTTTCAGAGATAAATGGAAAATGTTTTAATAAATTACATAAAATATGAAACAAAACAGTCGGTAAATTGTTTCCATCTGTTGCATGTTGTTCTATTTTACAGACTCCTCGGTTGGTCCAACCCAGTCTTGACTTTTATTCTATTATGACAGTAAAATGAAAAATTCATTTTAAACATAGGTTTTAACATTTTCAAGATGGCTGCAACGGCTCAAACCCAGACTTGATGGTTCTCATCCCTCACATCAGGAGCATTTCCTCTGGTTTGGCTGAAGCAGCAGGAACAGCTTTCAGAGACGATACTCTCTTCAGTCAGTGAATCATTAAATCATAACATGTACATTAACACTCTCCCTCTGGGCCAATCAGTCTGTTACACTAAAGCTAGCGAGGGGAGGAGTATTCTATCCCTGACATGAACTCTAACAGAGATTAGCTGCAGGATGGAGGGAGGGGAACAAACTCTTTCAAAGTTAAACTGTAGACTGATGAGACTTTTTGAGATCAACCTCTTACATGTTCAAGTCTTCCTTTCTCTGTGAAACAGTCTTTGTTTCTGTCACATTTTATCTCAACATCAGTCACAGAGAAAAACATCATCCTGCAAAGTGGGCTTATGTGTTTTCTGGATGGAAACGGGAAGAAAAAATGTTAACATGAGCAAACATGAAATGAACAGTGGTTAAACACCGTGAAATAGATCCATGGTTTTGGATATGCTCCTCAGGTGGTGGCTCTGTGGAGCAAACAACTTTCCTGAAAATGACCCAGAAAACAGCTTCAACATGGGGAAACTCTGCCAACCAAGCTGCAGACCCTCTGTAAGCAATGAACTGGCTGCTGTTATTAAAGGATCTTAATAAACAAGAAGCTTTTTCAGGTTAAATACTCACAGCTCCTGAGTCTGCATGTGTGAGGCTGGTCGTTAACTGAAGCGGATCCTGGCCCCCTGTTTAAGGCTGAAGTCTAACCCACTTTAAGCTCCATCTAAACCATTTATAGTACAGTACACAGAAAAGCAGATTACAGCCAGACCAAATTAACATTAGAGGCCATATTTTACAGGACCATGACGACACAACATGATGAGGACCAAACTTTGGACAGGATACTGTAGTTTGAGTCTGCATCATTTCAGAAAACTGTGCTTAAATGAATTCCTTTTTTAGTCTTAGAGCCGTGTGTCATTTTAGTTAAGATGTCAGAGGGTTTGTTTAATCCAGTCCATCAGTTCCACCTTAAAATCAACTTTCATGAACCTTCTACATTTTCAGGTTTAGTCTCATCAGAGAAGAAATGACATCATTTAATCATTTTTAAAGTTGATTTTGCTGAATTCAACCCAGAAACTTTGGGAAGAAATGCTGATGCTCCTGCTGATCTGACACCAACAGTCTCATTTCCTGTTCTATGAGCCTCATACTGTGTGAGATGATGCATGATCCATGCAAGACCTCAGACCAACAAAGAGAAGTGATCTGTGATTTCAAGAGAGTTTTTAATCACAAAGCTTTGAATGTAAGAAAATTATAATCTACAGAGAGACGATAACACTGATTAAGCTCCCATAAGATCCTCTGCAGGGGAGGTGAACACTTGTACTAGCATCTCATCATTCACAGTATCAGCCCCAGAGACCTCCTCCACTTCAAACCTCATTCAGCATATTAAACAGAAACAAACTGAGATGTCATTTAGACACATATTAAAAATCTATCCCCATATGACACTGAGATGATTTGGTTGTATCCAAACATCCCGCCTTTAGCTCTATCTGTGAGTTTGAGCACCATTCAAATGATCCTCTCAGATATTGAAAGGCTTTTAGCTCATGCATAAAGATGGCCGCAGGCTGCAGGTGAGATGAGATGTGACTGCATGATAATGGAAGGACTAATGCAATGACAGCCAGATTCATGCAGCGCAAAGGTTATGGCCTCTGCAAATTCTTAATCAGCTGCAAATGTCACACAGCTTACCTTGGGTCCAAATCAAGGCAGGCAGACATTAGCAAGTAGACCACGTTAGCATGCTGATAAGGAAATAAGAGTGAGGGATGGAGGGTCTTTGGAAACCTGTGAGCTGAGAAATTAAGCCACCCTTTAAGAGTCCAAAACTGCAGTTCACCAAATATCCACTAGAGGACTCCCAAAAATGAGTCAGTCCTCAAAGAGCCTTATAATAATCAAGCCGACTTTATGAAATGAACTGATTTAAAAAAAAAAAAAAAAAACACATTTCAGTGGTGACCAGTTTAACGTAAAGATGAGGGAATAATCTATCCTAGTAGACCTCAATCACAAAACTTCAACAGGATGTTGTTTTAACAGTGAGATAGGGCGATCTGAGAATCATTTAGAGACTCTATCTGATTTAAAATAGAGCAAGACAACATGTTAAAAATGACTAATCAGTATGGTGTAATGAGAAGTATCTACTCATTTTAAATTGGATATAGAAAAACACATCAAAGTTGTTGATCCAGGTTCATGTTTCTCATTGTATGTCCTTAGCATTCGTTTTACCAGCACCTCAGTAAACCTCAAAGGAACCTAGCAGACCAGGTTCTGGAGTCTGACAGTCAAATATTGTCCCAATCTGGCCTGATATAGGATTTCAGCTGCTCAATAGTTCAGGGTCTCCTTTGCTCTGTTTAGGGTGTCATGATGCTCCAAATGTTTTCAATGGGGGACAAGTCAGGACTGCAGACAGTCCAGTTTCTCAACAGGACTCTTCTCCTACAGAGCCATGCTGTTGTAATCCCTGTTGTCAGAATGTGGTTTGTCATTGTCTTGCTGAAATATGAAGGTCTTCCTTAAAGCAGTCTTTGTCTGAATGTCAGCGGATGTTGCTCCTATACCTGTAGATATTGGTCAGCATTAATTGAGCCTTCACAGATGTAGAACACACACAAGGGATGGATTCTGATGATCCCCATACCAATAGGGATACTGGCTCTGGGCTGGGAGCTGAAAACAAGCCCAGTAGTCCCTCTATTCTTAAGAGAGGGGGATGCAGCGTCCATGATTTCCATAAAAAGAAAGTCTGATTTTGTAGAGACCTCAGGATAGTATTCCCCTCTCCCAGACCATACTCTAGAATCCCAGACCTACAGTGATTCCCACTCCAGAGTCCTGTCTGCTCATTTGTATGAGCAGACAGGTGTCAGTACAGACACCTCAGTCTGTACTGAGGTGTATCGGCCACTTTTAAGTTTTCTTTTCTTTTCTTTCCTTTTGTGCTTCAACAACATCATGTGTGTGTGTGTGTGTGTGTGTGTGTGTGTGTGTGTGTGTGTGTGTGTGTGTGTGTGTGTGTGTGTGTGTGTGTAGATGGTGGCACTCTCCCCTGGAGATCATGGTTTCACCCTGTGGTGATGTGGTCTGATTCCTGCTCAGTTCAGCGGGTTGACCTCAGACAGAGAGAGTCTGATTGCACCTTAACACAAACACACACAGTTAAACACTCACATTAAAGCAGCAGGAGCACAACAATAAATCTCTATCTTTAAATTCTGAGTCAGTCAAAGCCACAGCGATAAGTTCAACAGAGTCTCCATCATGTGTGAGATGTTTTATTTCCCTAGAGTGAGATTCTGACAAGCTGAGTAAAAGTTTATCCCAGTTGAGATTTTCCCAATGTTTCAACATTGCATCAGAAATAGTGGATCCAAACTCCACTGAGAACAAGCATCTTAAAAGTTTGCTGCCTGTCGTCTTGCCGACAGACCCTTTGGAGGAGGGATCCAGACGGTTTACAGATCAGCACCCTGATGGAGTCATTCCAGCTTTCTGTTGGCCTGTTTATCATCATCCAATCACAGTCAGATGTAGTTATTATTTATCTTTCGTATATGGTTGTGTTCTCTGTCTATCACTGTTACATGCTCGCCTCATTTGCAGAGTGTTGGTTAGGTGGATTTTTCTGTTATACTTCGTTTCACCTGTTTTTCCGTTTTCCACCCTCAGTTTTTCTTTTTTCTTTGTCCATAAACTGACTCATGGATATGCACAAACCTCCTTCGGTTAATCAGTTACTGAGCCTGCCTGCTTTGCCTCTATCTTTGTGTCCATGTTTTTTTGGCCCTTAGAAGA